ATCTATGTGGGCAATTCCCAACTCTTTCAGAAGTGAAACTTAAAGAAGGAATTTTTGTTGGGCCTCACATTAGGAAATTGACTTTGGTTGAACAGATTGAAAGGACAATGAGGAAATTTGAAAAAGAAGCATAGATTGTCTTTAAAGCTGTTATTGACAAATTTTTAGGAAATAACAAGGACCCAAATTATGAAAATATTGTCAGTAAAATGCTTGATAAATTCAAAGAGTTAGGTTATAATATGAGCTTGAAAGTTCATTTCTTACACACATATTGACTATTTTCCTAAATATCTCGGTACTGTCAGCAAAGAACAATGGGAAAAGTTTCATCAAGACATCAGGGAAATGGAAAGGAGTTATAAGGGGAGGAGGAACATCACATTGATGGCTGATTACTGCTGGTCATTGAAATGAGATGCTTCAGATACAATACGTAAGAGAAAGACCACAACACATAGTTTTGAAAAAAAAGGGATGAATGAGGATGCATATTAATTTGACATCAATGTTCTTCCCTTTTCATCAGTTTGTTTGTGTTTTTGTTGGCAAACATAATAATAAAAAAATGTTCATTGTGGTAAACGAAATAATAATTTGATTTAAGTAAGTTTTTTTTTCTTTCTGATTTGTAAAAAATCCTTACAAGATGGAAAAAAATTAATATTATATTTGAAATCTGTGTAGCTGAATAATGGAAAATCTATTATCAAAACCAAAACAACTTTTATGAATCCTAAATTCGCAAGCCTGTGTAATGTGTAGGAAGCAATTTCGGCTAAAGGAACAGTTACATGTACGGACATGTGCTTGTACTAGGATAATTAAACAAATTGGACAGTTAATAAGGTTTGTATCCCCATTTCATATCAACATTAAGAACAAGCCAACTGTATTTAGTGTTTAGTATTGGTTTTTCTAGCGCTGATCTATAAGCCTTATGTAATAAAATGATTAGTTGAGGTTTTAGTTTTGTACAGGATTTTTGGAAAGAAAATATATTTTGTGTGTTCCTATGGACATACTGGTGATTAGAATATAAGCCAAGTGTGGGTATTTTTTATAGCAGTTCCTAATATATTAATCTTTATGCTCATAAATAAGTCTATAGGTTTCCCCAGTGTACATGTTTTTGCAGATTTGGCAAGTTAGTTGGTAAACAGCAGTACATGTTATGCACCAGCCTTCAACACCTGTTGAGTTTGAAATTATGTACAGAGAATTTAGGTGGTTCATGTGTAGATCCCATAAATCCTAATGTTCAGGCCACTTATTTATTTTTTACAAGATTACATGTTCTATTGCTAATATAGCTCAGTATCATTGTGTTCAGCTTTCTTCTTTGCTTTCTTCAAATATTTTCTGGGATATTAGTTACCCAACAATATTTTGGTCATAATGTCTGAAATTTTTTTTACAATTTTGAGGGACTGAACTGAGATATAAACCCCTTAATTTTGTGAAAAAGCAATAGATTGTTTTACTGCAGGAAGCTATGAAAAATTATAGATCAAACAGGTACCTCTGTGTGTTGGATTTGCATACAAGTGGTGGATAATTTATCTGTCATTGTTAACTGATAGGTAATTATCTGTGTTTGTTAACTTTAATCATTACATTGAGAAAGAATAGTTCATATACAGATTGTTCAAGGGGAAACTGAATATTGGGTTTTTGTTGATTCTTATGGTTATTAAAACTATCTAATCCCTTAGAATGATATGTCCAGACACCAAATACTTCTTCAGTGTAACAAAGGCTGGTGGTAAGGGGCATTATGTAAAGTCAGCCAGAAAGATTATTACAAATGGCAAAGCTAAACAATTTCCCATGATTACAGTAGATATTTACGCACAGTAATTGCTTACAAACCTAAAATAGTTATTTGTGAGAATGAATCTAAGTGACATTTCTAACTCTGCTCAATTGAGACTAAAACTTTGCTATGTCAGATTTATGCAAGTCTAAACAATCTACAACAAATTTTATTCTTTCCTCTACTAGTATGTTGCTTTAGTGTAGATATAACATCTAAACTAAACAAAAATGCTTCCATGTGGTGTCTGGAAACTTGTTGTGCAACTTACTGAGTAGCTTAGTAGAATTTTTTTACACATGCAGGAATAAACTGTAAGAACTATGTTTAAATCCTCTCAGTTAGATATGACATTTGTTCACAAGGACTGTAATGGTTTGAAACAGTTGGTGTTAACAGTATGTTTTTCATATGAACTTCAAGTAAGACCATACTATTCAGAGCATTGTGAGGGTTGAAAGTAATTTAACACATGTTAGACTTTTAAAGTTAGATGTTAATATACTTCTTGTGAACATTGGTGTACATGTTATTCATGTGTTTGTATAAAAAATATGTGGATTTACTACATTTTTTTGCTATTTTCATCCTTGTTCCATTCCTATGAGTAGGAGTAAAGTTGACATGTAACACTCAAAGATTTTTTTTTAGGGAATGAAAGACTGTATGGCATTACTTATTCTTCACAGAATAATAGTATCTGTAAACAGCATCAGAAAAGCACCATCTATTTAAGTACTGTCTTAACATACACTAAATTTGCTATGCTGTTTATGTAACACATAGTAAATTGGAATGTTTAGTTTGAAGGTAAATTTACAGATCTGTTGTTTTTAGGTTTTACACGATCAATGCTCTTTGTGGAACACAGGTAAGTTTTGTTTGTGTAAATTTGAAGGTAGGGTGCTGTTTATGAATGACACAGTTTGGTTTTGGTCTAGTAGTGATGGTAGAAGATGCAAGGTAAATTTTAAGTGCTGCAAAATTTGACCACAGTTTATAAAATGTTCTCTATTTTCTTTAAAATGTAAATTTATCTTTCTCCTTTGTTTAATAAACCAATATTTAATCTTATACAACTGCAGAGCACCTTTCAGTTGTGAAGTGCGCAAGAGCATATCAAATTTCAAAACTTAAGTATAAATCATACTTTTAACTGTATTTCAACATTTGTTAACTCAGACATATTTTAGAATTGATATTTTGTCACTTGAGTTTATAGGATTTATTTAGTTTCTTTTGCAAAAAAAAATGAAAAAAAGTTCCTCCCTTTGCTTATGCACAGCCCTGAGGAGTTTAGTAAAAAAAAAACCTGCAATTATTGATTTGGGGGGGGGGGGTACTGGTTATCCCAAAGCATAGGTTTATATTTACTAAGAAACTGCCATCCCTTGAGAATATAATTATTTTGTTTCTCACATGATTTTCCTTCTCAATCATGGTTTAGTTATTTATTACATGTTTTTGTTACCATTTCATAACATCACAGCAATAGTTAGAGCCAATAATTAAATGCCACTGATAGATCAAGTTGTATTCTATCTACAGCATTGTAGGTAAATAAAGTGGTTTGAAGAGTATTTTGTGGTTGCTCAAAAACTTAATAGAAACTATGAAAGACTAAAAAACAAACCACAGATCTGGGATTTTTTTTATAGTTTCTTTAGATGTTGTTTTCTTTCCTGAGATTATTTTTTGTGTTAAATGATAAATGTTTGAAAGCTACAGAAATTTTCTCGTATAATAAGACATCAAGTAAGCTTAGTATGATAGATGATGTCAAAATATTATAATCTTTATTTATCGTTATGTTTATCATACTGAAATAATGCAACTTAATAAATAATTTATTAGTTATTGAAAAGAAATTACCTAATAATTCTCAACCTAGAATATTTTAACAAATATGCTGTTACATAGCATGTTAAAGGTAATGGTGATTTCATTTTGAAAGTTTAGATCCTAGGTCATTTATAATCAATGTCAAATATATATATGTTAATGACTGTCAATCAAGTTGAAACTTGACTGGATATATAAAATGGAACTTTCTGGTTAACAATTAAAAAAACATTGAAATTTTGAGTTGAGGGGAAATATATTTAATATTTTTCAAAATAATACCCTGAAACAAAACTTTATAAATTTAACAACCTAAGCAATGATAGAAAATCTAGATAAAATTACACATAAATTATTTTAAAGCCAAAACTAGATAATAAGTTAATGTAATTGTGTTAAGTATTTCCACTGTGATAAGGCAAATATTAAGTGATATCAATGATACCAATTTGATCCAGAAAGAGTTGAAGTTCTCTTTTTTATCAACTGATTCATACACTTAAACTAAAAATTGGAAGGGGCTCTATTGTAAGTACTTTTTAACACTATTTCACCAAGTTAACCTGGTATAGTAGTTTGAGTAGTTAAAAAAAAGTACCTTATATCTAATTTAGTTGGTAGAGCTCATTTGGTATATAACAGGTCTTGAATTCAAATCTGAAGTGAGAAAGTACA